TAGATGAGAAGAATCAGGACAAGATTTCAAATACAAGTTTCCTCTCTCTGCAGGCAGTTTAAACTGCTTCGATATAATTTTGCTTCTTTAATACTTCCTCTTCAGTCTGTTTTTGTATACATTATATATATGTAATCTGGATGAGGAATCTTGTCTAATGTAAGTTAAAACATGACAAATGCACCCAACATTTTTCCAAGGAGGGAAACAAGGTATATACTGTATTTATAGCAGTAGAAATGCATTTTCCTGCCTGTAGAAGAAAAATATGCCTTGTATGAGAACTTTAATAGTGGGATATCATAGGAGAGTGTAGATAATGTTTGTTTCAGTGGAGATACAGGGTTGCAAGTAGCTAGGCCGCTTCTCTTGCAAGTTCAAGGTGGGGCTTCAGCACGGAGCAGATTTGGGCCCTTGGAAACTCATACCAAGAAGCCGCTCATGGCACAGCTGGAGGATGGTCTCCCTGGCCCCATCACGAAGGCCAGAGGCTCTGGAGTCATCATACTACACTAGAAAGCGATGAAGGAGCTTCTAAGAGTTACATTTGGGACTTTGCTCCTTCGTACTTTCAACGATTTCTTCCATGTTAATATTAAGACTTTCTGTTCATGAGATAAGAGTTCATCAGCTTAAGTTCTTAAACACAGATGTGCAAACACGCTCAGAAAAACTGATCCAAGCCAACTGTTTCTGCAAGCCAACTGCTGGCTACTGCAGCCTCCCTTCTCCAGGAAGACAGGAGAGACAAGCGCAGCAGATCCAAGCACCCAGTTTGTTTCAGCTGCATGAAACGGGTGGAAAGACTTGTTAAGATTTTCTTGCTTGATGACGATTTTCCTGCTATGTTAAGTGAGAAGTGTTGGGATGACATTCAGTTGGGATGCTCTATAGAAGTGCGAATTTCACAGGTTTCTTACACCAGGATGTTTGTTCCAGTCTGAATTCTTAAATTTCTGCCCCTGAAGAGTGCATTGCTGACACGTTTTTTCAACTAGTTTTGCCATGTTGAAAGGATATTTTGTCAGGGCAGCCCTTGGTACCAAGGGGAGGAGGATGGCAAAGCCTCTCGCGTGCGTGTGAGATGGTACTGCTCCATCTTGCCTCGGAACAGAAGGGCTGACTGTACGCTCTTGGTGTGCACAACTGCACGCCAGGAGCAGCCCGTGGTGCTGCACCGATCCTTCCTTTAGCAGAGCGAGTCTGCGGCTGACAAACAGCTACGGGCACATTAACTGTGTCACTGTCGTCGGGGTCTAATTGAGATTGCATTTCCTAGACAGCGTCAGACCTCTGCCTGCTTGCTTGGCTCTCGGAGCTTCCCTCTGGTTCAGGGCTGGTGCTTTGTCCGTCCTTGTCAGGTTGGGGAAATGATGCTTCTTTTTGCTCTAATCAAGAATTCAGCTGGTTTCCTCCCTGCATCCTAATTGCTCTCCAGAGAGCACTAAAGTGTGCTTAAGCATATTGTAAGTGTTTACTCACATTGTCTGCTGTATGTACCTTAACTCGCAATGTTCTATCTCTGCCCTGTCGCTGCAGGCTGGCATGATTCGCACGGACAAGGACGAATTCTTCATCGAACCTCTGGAGAAGGGGGCCCAGGAGGAGGAGGAGGGAGGAGGCAGGACACACGTGGTCTATCGCAGAGCAGCTGCCAAGAAGCAGTTTCCTATGGAGAGCGCAGATATCCAGTATAAAGGTAAGGCGGGGATGTTGATGCCAGCTGACGTATAAAGTGTGGCTAAAGGCATGGAGCCAGTGCGATCCGCTGTCGCTGGCCTCTTTGTCCTTGAGAATGGAAATCTGTTCTTCTCCCTCTGTGCACAGAAAGGTACGGGAGGAGTTGAATATTTTAGCTGGGATAAATAACTATTGCCAAAACACTCTCCAGGATGCCCAAACTGTCCCTGCCTTAAATGTACAGACAAGAACTGAGTTTCCTTGGCTCCAGGGAGGGTCAGCATAAGCTGATGTGTCCAAACTGGGCCTCATGTCTGAGCAGGGAAGAGGAGCACAGATGGAGCAGCAGTACCCGGGTAGCTGTGAGCACTGGGGACAGGCTGGAAGGCTGTGACCGGAGCGCAGAGGCTGACGTGGTGCAAGGGCTTTTTCACTGTCCCTGTCTTCACTGGCGTGGATTTCATCCCAACTGGAGAATAACTGTCCAGATGTGGACAAAAACCTCCTCTTCACTCAGATGTGGGTTTCCAAATGTGGAATTTGACCTAATGTGCAGTAGATGGTGATGGAACAACAAGGGCTAAACATAAACAGCCGTTCTGTGTAATACTCTCTATTTCTGTGCTCACCGCTCTGATGTGGGATGTTTTGAGCTGAACTCGTAAGAGGTGCAGACTGGGTTATGGATGTTCTGACAGTTTATGCTAACACTGAGATTAACAGGCTCATTTGAAAGGAAACCAAAAACAGTTGCACTTTGATCCCCCGTGTGTGTACCAAACTGCAGAGATATTTGCCACTAATAGTTTGAAAGTGAAGGAATACTTGAGTGTTATCTCACAGCAGTAGACTATGTTATTATGTATAATGCAGAGTGTTAGCTTATTTTGAGTGTTATCTCACAGCAGTAGGCTATGTTATGTATAATGCAGAGTGTTAGCTTATTTTCTGCAGAAATCTTCCCAGCAATTCCCATTCTTCTAATATGTCACCATAATTTTCAGCAGATAATGTTATGACACCTCCTATAAAAACCCTACTCTTTCTCTTGCAGATAGTAGCCCCCAGAAACCAGTTGGAAGAATGTAGTGACGGGGATTAGGCAGCAAAATTATGGCCAACTAAATAACCTAAATTTCGCAATGCTTTAGTTGGAAAGGAGAGGAAAAAGGAAGCATGCAATAGCACTTGTCTGGCTGGGCAGTCAGTTATGACCCATGGGTTATGTGAGCTGGGCTATTTTGGCTGTTTTTATAGACATCCTGGGGCAGCGCTGGAAGGAGAGAGGGGTCTGTGGGACACGGGATCAACCTCCCTGTTCCCAGAATGATACAATGGAAAGTGCTTCCTTAGTAGCTGTCTATAAAATTGTTGTGCTGCTGGAAAGTATTAGCTGCTGTGTTTCCTTTGAAACAAAAAACATCTAATTTTATTTGCACCTTATGGCAGTATTTTTGTTTTCAGTTGGTAAATATTGCTCAGGAGTAGGAGTGTGGTACACAGCAAAAACATCAGTTTTAGATCGGCTCCAGTTATTGGCACGCGGCACCTGCCGCAGGAAGCTCCAGCAGCGACAGTTCAGACACCCCTGCGAAAGGCAGAGCCCTGCGCGCAGCGGCGGCCTCCATTGAGCAGACCAGGCTGGCTGTGAGGCGGTCGTGCGAGATGGCGAGATGGCTGCCGGCGTCAAGGCCCTGTTGGCCGTGAGGCGGCTGTGTGAGATGGCTGCTGCTGTTGAGGCCCTGCCGGCCGTGAGGTGGCCACGCGACATGGCCGCCGGTGTCGAGGCCCTGCTGTGTGAGATGGCCGCCGGCGTCGAGACCCTGCTGACCATGAGGTGACCGCACAAGATGGCCACCGGCGTCGAGGCGCCGCTGTGTGAGATGGCCGCCGGCATTGAGGCCCTGTCGGCCATGCGCCCCGCTGCCACCGAGGCCTTCAGCACTGGTGCAAGAGCACAAAATAGTACTGGGCATTGGGCAGTGCTGTAGATTTAAAACGTGGTCTTAACAGCCAGTAAACGAGAAGCGGCCTTGGTTCAGGCCAGACATAGCACCGGCCTTGTTTTGAATGACACGTATCCATTTTAGGTAGCAGTAATTGCAAATTTTCATCGTTGAATTTTAAAATTAAGAAAAATGCTGAGTGGTGATCTTCCCATCCATCCTCTTCTGATCTGTGAAACTGATTACAAATAAGTTTGTATTTTGGAAAAACGGCAGTGTAGTGTTCGTTTTCTTTTCCCATTCAATTCTCTTTACCTTAACGTAACAAACAAAAAACAGCAGTTCTCCCAAAACAGATCAGTTCTCTTGTGTTTTTGGTTAAACTTGACTTCCCTGCTCCTGATTTGCTCGAGGCAACAGGCTTGGAAAGGACATGATTTCAAAAACTGTAATTTCATTTTCCAGTTTGTCGTTTTCCAGAATGTGTCTAGTTTTGGTTAACAAACGTCAAAACATTTAGTGACTGGGCGTTGATAAGCACAGCGTGCTGCATGTTTCCGTAACACTCTAAATTAATCAATGGGCTTACTTGGGAAATATTTAGCAGGGCACTTTAAGTATGCTGTATCTATTAAAAATGAAAAGAAGAAGAAAAAAGAGGGAGAAAACAGTTAACCAAGAACACTCTCCTCTTCCACCATCCCTTGAGACATCTGCATTGTTGCCAAGTCCCATAAATTTACATGTGATGAATTGTAATACTTAGTTTACTTTTAAAGGTCCAGCCTCCAAGTCATATGAATATGTGATAACTTTTTTCCCTCCCTATGTGGCTCTTGTAACTGTTGAGAAAATAAGTTCAAAAATATTTGCATATTCAGCAATTAAAAAACCACAAATAAGATGAAGCGTATGGTATTCTGTAATGTTGGAATCCCATGATATGCTCATTTAATATTGTGATTTGGGAGGGGATTGTGAGTCATGGTTGCTGAATGCTCGTGTTTGGATGGACGGACACAAATTCCTCCTGAGCACTCCTCTCCATGGCTGCCTCTCACAGCAAACAGCACGAGCTGTTCCCTCACCAGCGAGGCAGGAGGGAAGGAAAAGCTCCCCGAACTGAGAGCTGGGTGGGTCAGGCGGGATTATTCCAGACCTTGGGATTTATCCTTGGCACAAGGAGCCAGGCCATAGTCACACAGCCCTTGTGTGCAGCAGGGAAAGCAGACAAGGGCGTAGAGAAGTGGCTGGACCTGACAGCAACGGAGCTGGAAGTGATGGGAATACTGCTGCAGAAGTCTGTGTGGACTCCCCAGAAATAAGGCTAATTGTTTTGGGAAGAAGAGTGATGAGAAAGGAGGGTGAGATGATGGTGGGAAAAAGTCCTATTTTTTTTCCTGGGGACTATGTTTTTACTACTTGCCCATAATTTATCTTCCTCTAGATAAAAATAAACAGCATGCTGAAAATATTTTAGTATTTCCTGTTGAATTCCTTTTTGCATAGATAAGACGCTGTTTGGCAACAGTAAAACTTTCTGTGCAGTAGAAGCAGAATTAAATTGTCAAGCTGAAGGAGCAGGTCTTCTCTCGGACCTGTTTTTTTTGCCCTAATGTTTTCGGTAGATGGTCTGAAAAATGAAATAGAAAATCTTAATTTTTCTTTCTGAGGGCAATGTCAATATCAGGCTTGTAATCTCTGTAATCTCCCATGTCCTCAGCTAGATTCTCATGGTCATCACCTCCTGCCGCTCCATGATGTATGAAAACTTCCATCTCCTCATGCCACTGGGACAGTACTGAGGCCGGGGGGGGTGGTCTGTGCAGCTGGGGAGAAATTGAAGCTGGAATTAAAAAAAAAAAGTTTTTAGGAAAGATGGAGGAAGTAAAATATATGCTAAAGCCATAGCAACTCAGCTGCCAAAGCTTTGCAGGCTTTATAGATGATATTTCGGAGGAGAACTCTTCCATCATGGCCCATCAAACTGCCAATGACATTGATTTACTAATGTATTTAAATTACTTTGTAGAAACCAAGGTGCATTTGCTGTGCATTTTGCTGGATTGCCTGAAATGACACCCAGATGGGCTGCAGCCTGGCCGGCCGCCAGCCTCATTTGCAGAACCCTTGCTGGTTACCTTTGCAGAGGATCTGTTCCCTCAGAAACCTGAAGTTTCTCCCAATTCAATCAATATTTCCTCTCAATGTGTACTCCTGCTGATTAATTACTGTTCCCTTATTTTGCAGTTAGTAAGGCACCGATGACAATATTTTTTGTCTCCTTCCTACATCATCTGTGCATGATAAATACATCTGTCTTTGTCCTGGCTTGGTTTTCTCTGAATTTCATATTCAAAGAAATGGGGCTTTTCTGGGAAGAGAAAGATGGAGAATTTGGGGGTGATTCAACTTTTGAATAAGAAACAAGGTTACGCACTTGCAAAAAAACCCAAGTCTCTTGAGACCATTATTAGGCCAGTGGATGTCACCCTTCCTTGCTATAGATGTAGCTGATGAAGCAGCTCTTGGCTGGCATAGGCAAAAATCACTCTTGCAGGAACTTTAATCTGGAACTTTTGGATAAATCTGAAGAACTCCATAACAGTGCAGTAAATCATCTGGAAAATCAGATGCATGGAAGTGAATACTGCTCCTGCATACAGTTGGTGTGAAATATAAGGAATAGCCTCTTTTTTCCAGGGTCGATAGCTTTTTCTGCCATAGATCAAAGCTTGGTGGATGTGTGACCTACCTGTCCTGCTGGCTGGGCTGGCTGGTTAAATGCTAGTGTATCCCAAGCTTATGGAAACCAAGCTTGTGGGACAGTCATTTTTCCTTTTCCTAGAGGAAAAAAAGATATTTTAATATAATACAGTATAATATAATGATAATATAATAGGCTATTTTTGACTACTAGTTGAGTATTTCTTGGAGAAGAGTGATTTTGCTGTGTGTGTGGTATAATAACAGGTGCATGGTGATGGGTGTGAATATCAGGACCACAGTGAACCTGTGGGGCTACTTTTTCATTATATTTTCCAACCTTCCGAGCAGTTTGGAAAAGTGAATTGGGCTTTCAAAGTATTTTTGCTTTTAATTAAAACACTTCTCATTCCCCCAGCTGCTAAGAATCACTTGCAAAACAGTGAGCGTGCATGAAAAACATCCTCATAATCACTTTTTTTTCCCTGCCAGCTGCAGCTGCTGCAGTTGCTGCAGTGACAGAAGTGCTGGTGTGGAAGGGCAGGTGCTGGGGAGCGCTGCCGAGGTGCCCGTGCTGGGCGCGCGGACGCTCCCGCTGCGCCGCGGAGCGGGGCGGAACGCCGCAGTCTGCGCTGGTGCCGCTGCCGTTTCCTGCGTCATCTCGGTCTTAGGGACCCTCCAAAAAACGGCAATCGTTGCTAAACATGGCCTATAGGAACTTCACCTTTTAATAGGGATTTTATGTCTTTATGTTAAGAGCCTAACTTCTGAATTTGTCCCCACCATTCTTCTTAAGTAAGAGATCCAGATAGACTTCAAGGAAGTTTTTAAGTGCGTGCTTAACTCTAAGCGGGTACTGAACTGACCTCAGTGGGACTCAGATATATTTTTAAGCATTTTTTTTTTGATTGGAGATGTATTCCTCTTTATGACTCATAAGACAGGTTATTGAGGAGTTACCACTTCCATTCAGATATGCTTGAATTAAAGATGATCTACTTAATTATTTGTGCTTATTTAAATATCAATGATCTGCTTTTATCATTAACTAATTAAAAAATACAATGCAGTTCATCCTCAGCTGGTGAGTTTAGCTTCTTTGTACTATATTAAAACGCTACCATAAGGCTCTTTTAAGTGATTGTTGTAAACAGCTTACAGCTGGAGTTGGACATTACCAAATGCACTGGATGTTGCTAAATATAGCAAAATGATAATAAAGTTGATATTGCTCCATGAAGCAACAATTTCCAATTCTCAGAACACTCTACCAAATATTTGTGAGAGCAACTGATAAAAACATGGCAGGGCTCTCAGTTTGCTCTTCACCATTCCCTTCTAATTAATTTTGCATTAGGGGTGTGTGACACTTGGGTTTGATTAATCACTTGTTTGTTTATATCAAACTTGTTCATTTATATATGCATTTATAGAGACAAGACGTTTTGCAACAGACATTTCATGAATGTTCGTTGTTGTTCTTCCTTGTAACATCCATTGATCTCGCAGTACTTTAGCCTCACTACCTCCTGGGAGGAAAGAGACACCCACGTGTTTGCCCTTAGACAGGAATACCCAATCCTTGCCCTTAGACAGGAATACCCAATCCTTGCTTCTACCGAGAGCTGACGTTGCTTTTGCTGTAATAGGCCCCTGTAAGACCCAAGTTCCCAAGAACAGCAGTGCCCAAGTCCAACCTGGGCCAACGCGAGCAGATGCAGCCACCCACAGGCCCATGTGCAGGTTTTGCTTATGAAAACATCGATCTACACCCACCTGGTGTCTGCCACTTGCTGGTTATGGGTGAGTTTTCCATGAGAGATCATCCTGTTGAGGGTTACTCCTTCAAGGCCCTATTCATGTTGCTGGACCTGCTGGGAAGACCCCAGCTGCCATAACCCAGCAGGTTCCTATGGCTCTGTGAGGCACGAAGGGTGAGGAACTTGTTCACAGACAGACCTGGATGTTCTGCCTTGACA